AAAAAAACAATATTTTGGTCGCGAACGGTGTATTATACCTTCCGATAGCATTTTTACGGGGAATCGACTGGGTACATCAGTTTTCTGAGTCCATTAGGAAATGCAAAAAATCTGATCATTTCCACAAGGGCATGACGAGGAGGCATGTTTGGGGCCACACCACGGAAGGAACGCTCACTTGCGACCGAGTTTTCCACATAATTCCTACAGACAAGTGACCGTAGTCTACGACAGTGAAGGAAATTCGTTCGCTGTCTTCACAGCTTTCTACAAAACATCCCCTCTAAAAATGGGAAATGACATAATAGGCCAATTTTCCTGTTTAGAACTATCTGAGATCTCATTTGAAATGGTGAGAATGGGATATGGAGCACAGAGAGAACATGTTCAGCCAAAAACGCTTAAAACGAAATAAAAACCTAAGGAATCCGGAGAAAACATTCATGTAATCTCACACTGTAGTGGATTCCATTGAGTTCGTGGCGTATTCTGGGGCGATTTTTGAGAACCATCTCTCTGGGGAATGAAGAGGTTGCATAACAGTGATTATACACGTCCACATGCAAACAATTACTTCTCGGTATGACGAGTGCAAAGGCGCCAGCCCATATGGAGCTCTTCTAGAATTTGAAAGCAGAGCCTTATAGAACTCGACGAGCTGAGTTCAACGCTTTTTCAGATTTTGAAAATCTTAATTTAAACCGAGTTATAACGAAAAAACGAAAAAAAACGCGAAATCACGTTTTTTGCGTGAATTTTTGAAGTTTTACGGCGAGCACAATACAGGGGAGAAAAGCGAAAAAGCCGCTCTCTTTCCATATTTAAAACGGAGCAATCACACTTGGATAGATTTAAACCAAATGCATTCAACTGTACACTGAAGAGCATCTTCTTTTCTATCAGAAAACGTCATAATAGCCTTCTACAACAGCGACATCAGAAGATTTTCCCACGGCAACATGGCGCACAGGTCGAGCTTACCAGGAAGGTCTTTCAGGACATGGAGCGATTTTCCAAAACGGTTTTTTGCATGATATAGGGGCACATGCATGGAGCACAAAACTGCGGTCCATTTTTTCTGAGCGGCCCTCTAATGCCAAAAAAGGAGTGAAAAAAATTATTCCGGAACTGCACTTTTTATAGCCTTTAAGTAAAACTGAGATTGTGTACCATCGATTATTTGCATATTAAAAGGTTTTCGCAGACTAGACATTGAGGAAGGTGCAAAAACTCGTCAAATATGAGTTTCTCTCAATGAAGTGTGCTGGAAGAAGTACGGTTATTCCATAAGGGATGTCCGCGTGCAACTGATGAAAGTTATGAAATGGTGCAGTGGATAGCCAAGTAGGCTCCCATTGGGACGGGTTGGATGGGGTTCTTGGTTCGAATCCCACTCGGTGGTGGCAATAGCATTTTGGACTGGCACTCATTTTTGGGCGCCAAATGATACCAGCGCCAAGATGGATATCATATTCGCGAACAGGACCACCAGTAACCCTTATAAAAGTGGGAATTTTGCAAATACTGGTGGAAAACGTTGCTGCGCCAAAATGGCGTCGAACTGTACCAGCGTTGAAAGTAAATACCATATTCGTGCTCGAAACAGTGGATACTCCTTATAGCAGAAGTTTCGGTGAAAATCGAGATTTCAAGGTAACTTCAAAAAAGTGAACTCCTGGTAAGTCAGTAGCCCGCCATACTCTTGGCGAATGTCTGCAGGCGAAGACTTAGTCATCCTATTCTGATCCTTTTCGGATTATGGGATATTTAACTCCAAGGCGAACAATAGTATACACTCAATCTACTGGTGATGCCCGTAAAAAAACACAAGCGACTAAAAATATACACTTCCGCGCGTGTTCTAGCCCGTCATGCCCGTCATGCTCCCGGAACGGCATGGAGACGAACTCCCAGTCACCCTAGCTCATCATTTTCCCATGAAATGCTCGACTCCAC